CTTTAGTACGCGGAGTATCTGGGGAGCTGGAAGATGAGAACTGGCGAAGTTGTAGTACAACTTTAGTACGCGGAGCATATGGGGAGCTGGAAGATGAGAACTGGTGACTTTGTAGTACAACTGTAGTACGTGGAGCAGTCTGTGGAGCTGGAACCTGAGAACTGGCGACTTTGTAGTACAACTTTAGTACGCGGAGTATCTGGAGAGCTGGAAAATGAGAACTGGCGACTTTGTCGTACAACTTTAGTGCGCGGAGTATCTGGGGAACTGGAAGATGAGAACTGGCGACTTTGTAGTACAACTTTAGTACGGAGTATCTGGGGAGCTGGAAGCTGAGAACTGGTGACTTTGCAGTGCAACTTTAGTACGCGGATGAGTCATCTCTCGCGGCTGAGTCATCTCTCGCAGCTGCTCTGGCGCCCCTGCAGCTGAGTCATGTCTCCCGACCACCCGCCTCTCTTAAAAGGTTGACACACACACAGAGACCCACGCACTGCCTCAACTTACTCGGAGTCACAGACAGAGACTCATACACACACAGACATAGATACACACACACACAGAGACCCACACACTGCCTCAACTCACTCGACTTAACACTTCACACTGAACACTTAACTCACACTCTGACTTCCTACGTGATGAAAAATGCTTTCGGGCCACTCGTCGTCTAGTAAATATATCAGCACCCTCGAAACGATGGGTTCCATAGATGTTGACGTGCAACATTATATATAACTCAAGAAAGTTCTGCATGATGATTGACTTGCTCAATTCCCAGAAGTTCTGAGATTGATGTGTAACTGTCCTTTTCGAGCAACCGCTCACCCAAGAAATGGTCCGCTCAGGGGCATCCTGCAAAAAATATATCGGGGGCACAGAATTCAATGGGCCAATCCGGAGGATATCCACTTCTTAGGCTCCCTGCCACCTGCTTGTCAGTGTCCTATGCTGAGGGCTATGGGCAGTTATGGGAAGGTATAGGTATTGAGGGTATTGGTATCGAGAGTGACCAGCAATAAATTCTGCAGAGGGCGTCCAACACGAGAGCTCACTGCTGTCCACCGGCTGGACCAAATCAGGAACTGAAGCTGAACCGGCGGTCCGTCGCCGACCGCGCCAGAAAACAACCGACTGTTGGATGCTTTTGAGGGGCAACCTGGGTACGGAGTTGCTATTTTATTTTAAGAAAAGGCAACAGTGTGACACATGTGGTGACATGTATATCTGAAGTGAGTGAAGCTGAGCAATGCGCCCGTCAGAACACTTCAGGCTCATTCCATGTTCCTGGCCACTTAGGAGACATCATACCGGGCTTTGGCTGCAGAGCAGGGGCATTCGACCCAGCGGCGCACCTTCACAGGCGAGGTTCGAACGCCAGCGATTGGGACAGGGTGGGCAGGGCCGGGCAGAGCAATTGCAGCAATGCGCAGCAAAGCGCCTCCCCCAAAGCCACGAAAACACGAATCCTGCCTGTGTGGTGAATGCAAAAACGATTCCTGCCGACTTCAAGGTGTTGATGGCCGCAGAGCACTCTGAGGGGAAAATGAGTGAAAAAAGGGACCAACATCGGAGTGGTCCCAGGAGTAGCTGCAGTCTAATGTGACGCTTTTGATACGTTTTGAGGAGCAACCATTGGACCATCTAAGGCCCTAGATACACTATAGTATGATGATAGAGAAGGATCTAAAGATATATGGTACATATATGTATTGTATATATATATAATACACACACACTTACACACATAAACATATAATTACAGAGGTCACTGTTGAAGCTGACTGCTTCATCCAGCCGTGGCGCGCTTCACTACCTCCCGGTCCCAGTCCGTCTGACAAACTAGGCCCCGAGGGCGCGGCGCTGCACGCGGTGTGCCGAGCGATTCTGGTGGTGGAGCTGGCCGAACGGACCTGCTACTACGTGCCTTCGGAGCCAAACGCAGAGGTGATGGACGTCGTAGGAGGGCGGCATGTCGCAGCGGTCGCGGGGGAGCAGGGTGCTGAGAGGCGCCTGCCGGTCACTAGGCGACGAGCCGCCCATGTGTCAAAAGCTTAGCATCGAGTTGACACGTTGCTGACTCGGGGGACCACATGGACCCTATAGCCGATTCCATCATCTCCTAATCACCTAGAAAGCCCCGGGTCTTGGAAGATGGTCTTGCCCAGGTGATGGCTATGTTATAGTGTATCAGGTGTCAGCTGTTGTTGTCGCACCCTCCATGCTCGAAGCCTTGAGGCCCTGGCTGGGAGCCAGGAGTTCTTCCTGGAGACTTTGGGCTATGGGGCTCAGGAAAGTGCCCTGCCAGGGGGCTTCGGGATGGTGCGGCAGTGGGCGATTCTGAGCTTGGTCCCTTTGGAAGCTAATAGCAAAAGAGAAGCATCTAATAGCTTAAAGGAATCTAATAGCGATGGCCTCCAACCTACTTGCGATGGCCTCCATCAACCGAAGCAGCCAATATTATATGCTGTGTCCAATTGGATCGCTGTACGTATGCAGCCGTTGGCTCGCTCCACCGCACCGAACGTAGACCGTTCGAGAAGACGGATGACGTGGAAGGAGACCCACACCACCACATGACGAGACCCCCTCACAACGCTGTTATTTTAGAAACACCGTGTTCATCCATGTTCCAGTGTTTGTGTTCACGGATGATTTCTATACAAAAATTGATGTATGATGTGCATGATCTATATGATACGTGTGTGGGGGGCGAAGAAGCTACTTCATCATCTGCTTGTCTAAATTTGATCATGATTAAAAAAGAAAAAACACATACGTAGCTGTCCAGCACGGTGATTTCATGCCAACATGTCCATCCCTCCGTGGAGGCACCAGGCCGTCGGCTCGGCGTTTCGTCGCGTTCGCTCCGTTGAGGTGCCGGGCTGAACTCGGCCTTTACCACCTTGTGCCACTGGGCGGACCATGGTTTTATGATGGTTTTATGCCATGCTCGAAGTGCGTTTCTGCCTGCCCCTTTTCAAACTGGGGTTTGTGCTGCTGCTATATACTCAAACCATCCAAAGAACTGTGTGTATTGAGGGGAGGAACGGAAGCTTCTTGCGGAAGTGGCCATCGTGGGCGGCTTCCTTACAGGCTTCACGTCCGTCTCTCGCTGCCGAAAAAGCCGTCGTTGTGTCCACCGAGCCCACCGGGTCGCTGCCCTCAGGCTACATGTGGCCTTTGTAGCTTGTTTGCAAACAGGGATCTCCTGGCTCCGTGTGGAAGGCCCAGGCTGCGTGAAGGAAGGTGAGATTTTGTTACTAGCATTGGCAGGTAAATAAGTGCTATGGTTGAAAGAAGATGCATGGATCCCTTTGGACTGCGATACATGGATGATAGTCACTGTGTTTCTGGGATACAGGCTGACCCCCCCAAACAAAGCACCTGAAGAACAGGTGTGGCGCAGCTCTTTCAGGGCTCAGAGAGTTACCCTGGTCTCGAACAGGTTTTGTTCCAGCTGGGTGCGGTGCGTCAGTGAAAACCACACTCAGCACATCGAGTTTCCCCTAGCACATCGTCCAAGAGAACCATCTTGTCGGTTGAGAGACCTGAAGTCAAAGATCGCTTGGGAATGATCCCTCCAACTACAAGGACCTTACTACATGCCCTCTCCCTCAAAGCAAAGGTTGAGGAGAGTTTCATCAACTGAGGGCTGGAGGATATGTGGCAGATGCCTTCTTGGGCAGATACCACACCATTTGGGTCTTCACGGTGTGCTACTTGGTCGGAGTGTCTTGGCCGAGATCAGGGATCGATCTGGAAGAACACATTGGATGCTTTACTAGAAGAAAGCAGTTGGCAATGGAACTGGGCCAAAATGTGTTGTTGAGTCCACTTGACTTTTAGGCCACAGAAATCCATTTTGTGCACAGGTCTCAGGCATCTATAACTTAAGATGAAAAACAAAAAGGACACGTAGTACAGCATCCATGGCGCTGGCCCTTTGGATCCATCCATCCCCGCCCATCCCCTTCGTCGTGAGGTGCTCACCTGTGCCGTGTCAGCGCTCCCGGGCCCCACACGGGACGCCACGACCTACCTCGTGGGGTCCATGGTTTTCCTGGCGCTGGGCACAGGAGACCGAGACCGACCAGAACCGACCTGGTGAGTCTGGTGACAGTGGTGTCCTTTTTGAAGGGGACGGTCATGTAGTAGATATATGGCATGAGATGGCTGGTGTTTTTCTGGGGTGATTATAGTGGTGATGAAGTCAAGATCCAGCGCGAAATCATGTTTTGGTGCCAAAGCGTCCTGATTCCTGATCATCAGCTCGCAAATCAGTGGATGAATTGACTCAGAAGGGACGAGGCTGTTTTTTCGGCAGATATTTGGACCTCTCATTTATCATTTGGATTCATTTGGTGACTTTGGTTTCTCCAACACCTCGTTGGGAACAAGAGACCAAGAGCTTTGCACCCGGAGAACACAGCTAATCCACCATCAAGGACCTACTGAAATGGTTTTCTTCTTTGCCATCTACCTTCATGTCCTGGGTATGCCCCTTCCACCGTTCACAGAACAGCGTTCTTCGGAACATTCGCCCTCCACCGGGCGTGTTCCACCAGAAAGGGACGGAGGCGTCGTGCGTTTCATCCCTCTTTTCCCCAGTTGAATCGTTTGTCGATCGGATTTTGGTCCCGACCCGAAGCGAACGATACGACCGAAGCGAACGCGACGTTCCGAACGATGCGATGGCCGAAACGGACCGCTTCGACGCTCCGGCTCGGCGGGTGCCAGGCGGCATCAAGCCGAACATCTCCAACTTCGGCGCCGATCAGTTCGACTCCCGCAGCCGCTTGGGACGGACGGAACGGGAGAACGGGGGTGGGTTTGGGTGGTTTTTTTGGGACGAGGTAGCAAGGCGCATCGAAGCCCAAGGCCCAAGACACGTTGAAAAGCCAGTGTCCATGAATGTGCTTTAAACAAAATTTTGGAATATGTCGTTTGAAAATTGATTTTAGTTGTACTCTTTTTTAAAGTTGGGAGCTGGAATTGTTCCACCTCATTTTGGGGTGGAATATGTCTCTCAAACTCCATGGTTTTGTCTTGAGTTCGACTGGTCCGCTCATAGAAGACAATGTCTTGAACACCTGGTGGCTGGTGTGAGAGAGATTTGCGGAATCGCGGAATCGGAGATGCTATGCGGTGCGGTCAATGGCCTCATTTGGAGTAAACCTGGAGCAGACCTGTCCTCTACAAACTTCATGTTTGCTTTCCCCAAATCAGAAGGTCTCTTTGGCATTTTTGGAACCTGGAACAAGCTGAGCAGAAAAAGCTGCGATCCAGGTGCTGCGGGCCGAAAGGCGCGAGAGGAGTTCTACACGTGGCTTGGGCGACGCAAAGGAAGTTCACACGCCTGGGGCTTCAACTACCTGCGATGGTGTTTCATTCATTAAGGGCCCAACATGTAGATGGCGGCCTTATCTCGTGCGGTGGTTTACACTGCCGCTTTATTTCCTGCGGTCCAGGGGATTTTCTGGGGCAACCTCTTGTGCAACCACGCTAGGTCTGTTGGCTGCACCAAACAGCAGAATCAAGTCGTTGGTGAACAAGCTCCGATCAGAGAGCGCTGAAATTTGTGTGTTCTTTTCAATTAATTACCACGCTTGGGCTGGGTCCCAGACTGAATGGAATACTTCTCACAAGTTCATGAAGTCTCGTTTGTTGGCTTGGGGGCAAGTCTCCTTTGCAAGTCTTGCAGCCCCATCTATATAGGCACCTTTGAGGCTATAGAGGACGTGGTAATTAAGGGGCCGCCGGATGGTTACTCGGCCACTTGGTCCTTTGGCCCTTAGGCACCAGACCTGCTTATGTATCACAAACTCGACCACACAAAACTATGTTACGACATGTTGGCGTTGTGCCGCGTGTGCCCGTCTTCGCCAAGCGAGGTACTTCTATATGTCCATCAACGTGGGCGTGCTGCTTTCCTATGGCTTCCTATCTCGAAACACAAACACGCTTGACCCGTCATCATCGATGGTCAACTGCGCCCATGGCTATATTGTCGGGGCGCCACCGGCGTCACCGGGTATTCGCATCCAAGGCTTCCTCACCACCTTGTGCTCCAGCGGGTTGCCTGGGCTGGTGCCGAAGGACTTGGGCTATGCCACCAGTTACTTCCTTGCGGCAACCTCCATGTGCGTCCCACGGAGGAACGTTGCTTCGCGTTTTGGACGGACGAAGCGGAGGAGGTGTGTATGGTGGTGCAGGGCCATCTTTTTGGATGTGCGCATGTATGTCGCGAATTCAGCGGCGATGTCTCATGAATCGATGGCTGGTATTTGAGGTGCTTGACCTTTTGCTGCTTCATTTGCTTCCTAGAGGGCTACGTACTCCGTAGTTCAAGAGCGGAATGCCAGTCTGAATGCCAAACCAAGGTCGCTTTGACCGTGTTCCTTTGCTACAGCAGCAGCTACAGGCAAAGACTTCGACCTGGGGCTTTGTGGGAATGGCATGGATGCACGGGCGCTCTCCAGAAAACCATGCATGGGCTGGTTTTTGTAACCTCGGATGCCTTTTTAAACCATGCTCTGCCATTGGACCCAAAGGCACTAGTCAATAAATTAACCTGATTGAGGATTTTGGAAAACGGGCATATGCAGCATTGCTCAATACTACAGCAGCATGCCATGTTCATCCATGTTAATGAATGCCCCTACATTGCGCCCAGTATCTGAAAATTGTTCCGATTTCTGTATAGTTATCTACCCTTATCAAAGGCTATCAAATGTGTCCAATATAATGAAGAACATCTCAAAACATCTCATGACTCCTACTGCCTACTCCATCCTACTCCTACTTCTCGCAGCTTCTGGACAACGGCACCCCCTGGGCGAACAATCCTACTCGGTGTCGCTTGGGAAGCACAACACCAGGAGGTCCATGGAGCACCTCGCCGCCAGGTGTCTCCACCGGCACCTGGGCGACGCGATCCGCGGCGTGGTGCTCCACGTGGTCTCCGCGGCCTTCGAAGGCTCCAACCGGGCCAGGGCCATTTGCTTGGGCCACTCGACCCACTCGGCCACCGAGACGCGTAAGACCGGGAGAACCATTTTGTCGAAAAGCCTCTACTGGACAGGCCGGGCAACAGGTCGGCATCAGACTTTGGGAGAAACTACGAAATTACCAAATGGAGTTCGCAGTTTTTTGGGCGGGTCCATGCCACACACCACACCATGATCATTCCCCCCATTCCTGCCACCAAGTTGTGTGCCCAAACTCAAGAAGCTGAACCCTCAGGTTGGCAAGTGCTCCCACGTGCTTTAGCAATCCAACAGCAAAACCACCTCCACATCCACATCCAAGTATCGACTTCTCCTGCTACCTAGCAGTGTCATCCACTCAGGTTGGCCCTTGCTCTTGCTGGGTTTACTTCTCACGGTGATCATTTCCTTGAGCCCCACGGAATCGCTGGGCCTCTTTGGTGCACTGATGGTCTTGAGCGGTCTCTTGCTGGCCACCTATGGCTGTGGGAACCTGGAGCATCTCGGTGCATCCGATGCCGTGACCGGTCGTCCGATCTCTGTGAGTTGATCGGACCAGGTCCGTCCGTGTGGGGCGAATCGAGGGGTAGAAACCAACGACCTCCTGCGGAGTTGGGGCAGATGTGGCCGTTGCCGTAGGTGTATAAATTGCTTGGGTGTGGGCGGAGTTTGGGCAGATGTGGCCGTATTTATGCTGGATTTGTTGTGGTTGGGTTTTCAAGCTGGATTTTGGAGTACGTTGGAAGGGTCTCAACCAAGTGATCCCGATCTAAGGACAAGTTTGTGACGTGCTGGACTTTGAAGGATCAACTGGCTTTGAATGACCAGACCACCTGTCAACCAAAATTGTTTGAGCAAGACTTCAACTGTTCAATCGGCATTGGTTGTGTGGACACGAGGGGGACTTGGTTCAGAAGCGCTAATCACCTGGAGCACCCGAATCATTCCCAACACCATGTGTTGATGGAGCCCATCCCCGTTCTTGTCCCCTGTTCCACGCTGCAGGTGGGTGCAAAGTACCGCCCACCGGAATAGCCATGTGACCCGGCAGCAGACGGCAGACTTCCTGCGTGTCATGCCAACCCTCGCCGCCGTAAACTTGGCCTTCAACAGCCGCTTGGCGCGTCTACGACACGGGCACGTCACGCGTGTCGTCCCGCTCGCGTCACGCGCGTCACGCATGTGCCAAGACGTGGTATGTCTTTTTGTTGGGCTTTGGTGCGGATGGTTTCGGCGGTTCACCTAAAGTTAAGACTGGGCCTGGACGTTGGCTGGGAGGTGGCTACACTGACGTCAGTGCGTGTTTGTCTCGAGGACTTCTCGACAAGATTCGCAAGATTGGACCAGACGAGAGAAGAGTCACCGGACAATTACAGTGGTTTCAGAATAGATTGGCGCAATCCCCAAGTTCGGTGCTTTATATGGACCCCATCTAAAAAGCCTCTTTGGGGTGCCAGTGTCATCGACTCTGAAGCTGTATATCTTCACCATCCATCCTGATCCCCTCGTCAAACGCAATGGACATCATGGGAGACCTCCCAACGACCCCTTGGAAGAAGGAAAATAGACCAGTCGACCCATTGGTTCCGGGTCTCCTTATGTAAATACCATTAAATACCTACCCATGGGACATCATGTGACCATGTGTATCTACGACGTTCACCCGGTCCCAGGCGTCTACAACTGCATGGCCTTCTGGTTTCAGGAGCCCCGGCCGCCTGAAGACGGCCTCAAGTGAAGAGACACTGACGTGTTGAAAGTAGTGGACAGAATGGTCGTTCTCCGGCTGCCACCTCAGCACTTCAGCAATTGGATGATGCAAAATAGCCCCATGTGGAGGCCTGTAGTCTTAAGATGTCTCAAGGGTCTATGTTGAATCATGTTGAATCCAAACTCTTAAAACATGGGGAACCCATACCGTCCAATCACCACACAAGCCGGTGTGTGTGGGCGTCAGACTCGGATGAACCTCCGCAAAGAGGAATCCAAAGTAAGACCAGTCGGCGGTGTTTGAGCCAAACAGCCCGTAACATGCAAGCAAAAGCCTACCCAAACTCCAGGAGCAGGCCTGCTTGATGGACGTGAGATTCTTCAACATGCAGTTGAACGGCTCCTTCTTCACCATCGCCGATGGAGCCTGGGCGGACCGCTTTTCTCCGCGGGCGTCGGGGATCGGAGAGGGGGCCCGCCCCGGCTTAGCCGTCGGAAAAGGTGAAGGTGACCTGTTGATCCAACATCGGATTGATGGATGCATCATGATGCACAACTGTGGAGAAAACACACTTCGACAATTTGTATTCAGTTAGCTCAATTTCCCGATGGGAAGGATGGCGGTGGAACGGCATGGTGATTGGGTCAGATCACTTGAATTGTTTAACATAGTTTCCCTCGCTCTGCTGAACAAACGCTGCACATCTGCGGACGATCGGCGGCTCAGCTGCTGAAAGAAACCTGTTTGGGGGTGGTAGCATGAAGGACCATGAAAGCAAACCGATCAGATTGGACAGCTTGTGCAAAAGTTGGTCGCAGGTACACACAGTTGATCAGACTGTGCATCCACCGACAAGCATAGCTTTGTTAGCCAGCGTTTGCTTGTCGGCCGCTGGCCCCCTGCCTGATTGGAGTGGTCGAAGGAAACCCTTTGTCCAGGGGTGGACACACACAAGTCGCCGGCTTCGGCGCTTTTTCAAGACACCCCCTACCGTTGAACCAGTGGACGAAAACCTTTTCCAGGGGTGGACACACACACAGAGCCGGTTTCGGCGCGGTCAAAGTAGTAGTAAGGCCAGGGGCCTCCAGTAGCGTCCTAACTCCCAGGGGAACATTTGTACAAAAAGCGCCAAATTGTTGGCGCAACGAAGAACTAGTAGACACCTAAAAAGCCTTAGAAAGACAGAAAAAGCAACGAAACAAGAGCAGACTAAGAGGGCAAGAAAGAAAAGTAGGGTAGTTACGAGGCCCACTTAGTTAAACGAAAGTAGAGTGCGAGCGGGACATTCGTCTTAAACCGCCCGGGTAGCTAGCAATAGCTAGGAGAAACAGAAGGAAAGGCACCAACACACAAGTGTGTTGAGTGCGATTTCCTTCTGTTTCCCGAGTAGCGGGTGGGATAGCAACGGAGGCCTGGGGGGTA